CATTTTTTGGTTCGTACAGGACTCGGGCTTAGTCTTCTAGTCTTTATATGCCCGAGTTTGGGTCAAAGTTCTACAAAACTGATAAGGAGCCGAAAAAAATAAACATTTGCATGTAGATTACTATCTTTTGAAAACAAGTAGTCGAGTATTATTCTTTCTGACTGCGCATTTTGACCGAGATTCCAAATTCACTGTTTAAATTCGAAAACAAAACAGGTCCGAAGAACTTTCTGAAACAACGTTGAGGTGTCTCTTTCTTATGTGAACACCATAGTACACACACTCCGGTCTGTCATTTAAAACCGTTCAATTCGGAAACCTAACTACCGCGCATTTGTGCCGCCCTGCTGTCGTGCTAAGATCAATAAAAATGAACCCAGCGGCAGAAAAGAGTGTTGAAAACCGCTGGCCTATACCTCAAGTTGTATAGGACTTCTTGTCAGTCGTGTCCTTTAGGATTACTTCAATTTCCCTGCTGTCCGTCGTCATTGCACGCAATAACGATTCAATTGAGCGGTCAAAGTGAGAGATTATTTGGGCATTAGCGCAGTGAGCTGTATATGCTTACCTGTGGCTGCCCTTGACACTCGCTTAGAACCACAAAGTCATAATACCGTATAGGCGGGGCGACGAGTCGGCGGAAGCTTAAATCCAATCATAAAACGCATGCCTGTCCAAAGCATATGGTAAGCTGATGTAAGTGCTGATAAGATTTCGAAAAAGCCCACAAATGAGTACATACCTGTAGAAAAAGTAAAAATCTTCCCCAAGAATAGGAAAGGGACTAGTTTTGTAGCTCTCGTCTGTTTTAGGAATAACATAACAGTACCATGGCAAATTTCCACGGGCACCTACCTGCTGACACTGGGGAAATTTGGAGTGATTAAATGACATTTGTAGTGTAAGGTTATCCCTGAAATCATTACAGTGGATCCACAGCCCAGCAAAATCACACCATTTTTGTCCTGTCATCTACAGTGTGTACGTGAAAGATTAATTCCAAAGGTTTAACATAATTATAATCTGCAAGGACACCAGCTTTGGTATCATTAACTGCCAAGGATGGGTGTTGCTAGGAGTTTTTCGGGGCGGGGGGGGGCCTTCGGGAAGCCCACCAAAAGAGACTGACATACAATGGAAGTGTATCAGGACATGGTAAGAAAAAATAATTCATACGCAATTCTCATGGTCACAGGTCGTGCTCAATGTAGCCAATCATAGTGGAAAGCCATCACCCCCAGTGCCCTACTTGGGCACTGGGCGACGAGCGAACAGTCATTAGGCCCTGGGCGGGACCAAGAGAGGGCGCAGTTCCCTGGAGGCCCCTTTGGTATGAACTCCACGTCGCTGGTTCACAAATGACTATGGGATGCATGCATTGCAAACTCGCCGCTACCAATAACTCAAACACTGCCCACGAACGGGTGCTTCTGCTCAAGGAGGAATTTTGAATGCGACCATTGCCTAAGATCATTATTTACGAAGCCGCACGTACAAAATTGTATTCCGTACGTATACGAAATAGTAATCTGTACGCACGAATTGTTACTTTTCTGATCATGTCCTAAATACATTTCCATACTAACCATTAAAACTGTAGAGGGGCAATGCTTAGGTACTGTAATAAAACCAAGCATTTGCATTCCGCTTTCCCTGTTTTACTTTTGCTTTCGTTTTCCTTTTTATTAATATTCCCATTTTTCCCGGAAGCGAAGTTCATGACTGGGATTACGACCTATCACCTTTTGCACCCCAACGTGTATCATCTTATCGGGATCTAATTTTATTTCAGGTTATCTAAGACCCCACCAAAGGTGGATCTAGAACCTATTTTCGGGGGAGGGGTAAATCTGGGAGTTTGGGAAAGAAATACTGTCCACCAATTTGCCTTTCTTTCGTTATATTTGAAAATCTATAAGAAAAGTTGTTGGTAGGCATTGCTTTGTTTCCACTCACCTGGATCCGCACTTTAACCCTGCATGCAAACTGATCGGAGCTTTACTTTGAAATTGTGCTATGAATTGGCCATTAACAAGAGAAAGGCTATTGACTGGTCGATAACTGGCTTCTGACCCTCAGTACAGGCTTTTAGTCAAACACGACAGCTTCGCCACGAGTTTTTGACTTGGAAGACTCCGATTCGGAATGTTTGTTATACCCCCTCCCCCAAATAACCAGAGCTGTAGACTTGAGTCCTGCAACTTGGACTCGAGATGGACTTGAGTCACTGGTTTGTGACTTGTGACTTGACTTGTAACTATAACCAGCTTTGACTTGTGACTTGATTTGGACTTGTAAATATGACCTGCTGCCATGTCTGCCTGAAGTGATTATTAAGACTGTAGTACACTTGGAAATTTAACGAGAAAGTGTAAGTATACTAAGCAGGCTAGTCAAGTTCAGTAGTTCAAAACTTGTAACTCGTCAGGTTGACGCCCGGCCCTGTATGCTTATTACAGCTCGATAAAATAATGTGCGACTTGACTTGTGCTTGGACAAAGAGACTTGTGACTTGCCTTCCTTGTGTTTGGGCCAAATGGGTTGTAACTTGACCAAATGACTTGATACTTGACTTGGACTCACAAAAATGAGCTTGCTGCCATGTTTGCAAAAGACTCACTCGATAACGAGTTTGATGTGGTGTTTTGACTGGTCTGCATAGCACAGGCGCGCAGTTATAAAGCTACGTTTTGTTCCATGAGTGATTATGCATCTGTTGTTAATCAGTCTGGAAAAAATGCCAGGTTCTGGTTTTCACTAAAAGGTGAACTAGTGATCTTCCGAGCTCATGGAAAATGGTGATCAGAGGAAGCTGACCAGAAAACAAAGAAAAAACTGTTTCCTCGGGGATGTTAAAACAATGGACCCTTCGGAGACATTAACTTTTATGATGGGTATCTTTTCGGCGCCCCTTGTCCTCTGCAAAGTCCAAGTTCTAAAGGGATACCCCGTTTTCAAAGCGCGTGCTCTCTTTTGACAGATACCATCCATTCCATCTTTTTAAATAGTTAATGGACAATTTATCTTTTGTTTTGTTCTCGGAGAATATTTTGACAGTTTCGGATGGTCTGCTTTGGAATCGTATAAACGGCAGAAAAGAGCAAAACTTACATAAGCGTGATTTCGTTCACTGGGCTCCTCTCAAAGTATTAACATACTGACAGCTTGTCTCTCGGGCCCAACCCCTCCCCAAGATCGTTGCTCGCATTACTCTTCGAAATCGACTATTCCTAGTTTTGCATTCGCGTGCTCTTTCGAGGGACGCAACAGCACATTGCTTTATAGGTAGGCCTACATCAATGTATACAATTAGCTACCCGAGTTTGTGTCGGGAAGAAGGAATCTCCACGAGGTCAAACATGCCGGGGAACCTGAGAGTTAGTGTACGAATTATTAACTTTGAATATCCGTCATGGTTTCAACACTTTGACTTCAGCAACTGCGAATTTTCCCTTGTTTACTTGCTCCTTTATGTGTTTCTCGAGGATCTATGTAGAATCGTATGGACGACATTCAACTAGAAAAAGGAAAGGTACAAATCTCTCTCTGAATATCGATCATAGTCTATGTGAACGAAGAGGGCGTTCTTTTCATATACAGTGCATGAAAGCCACGCATGGGGCAACGTCATGTCAAGACTAATGTCATGGATCAAAGCCACGGATATGCGAAATTAATCCAATGGTAAGGAGCATGCACACCCCTCAATACTTACATGTGCTTTCCACTTGCCACTTCAGCTTGCGAAATTGGAACAAAAAGGGGGAGGTTTTTCATGTAAATTGCCCCCCAAACCTACCTGTGCGCCCTCACGATAACCCATACTCCCTACAAACAGGTCACCAGTCAAGTGGTGAAACGGTGTTTCACATGCACCGTTCTGTTGTCATTGTAACAATCAGGCATGAGTATAGTTTGATTGAGTGAATATGCTGGTTGAACGGCTGTGACTGAGGCTAGGCCGATAGACAAACGGTATACGCAAGTCTCTTGGAACCTAGTACGTGACTTCAAGGCTGCACACCAAAGTATTCGGTCGACGGCTATATTTTGGGGAATGAAAAAATCTCAATCTCAGTGCCTATTACCTCTGCTTCTGCTTCCCCGACTCGGCGTTTGTAAGTCGAGTTTTCTCGTTTCAAGAGGATTTAGTGTAAGTGGATTGCCATAAAGTGAGAGCATATTCTGTGAAGCGCTGACATGAAGAGCGGCAAACGTGGCCAGCAGGTGACAGTAGCAAGCTGTCATTTGGCACGTCGGCCTAGCACCTCGAGATTGGTGCAAAAAAAAAAAAAAAAAAAAAAACCCGAGCACGAATTGCAGTCTGCAATCGTGTGTTCATTCAGGTGCCTTTGTGGAATCATGGCCAGTATCAAAAAGGATATAACGAAAACAAGAGTTGAGAAAAAGTGACAGCTGAAGGCACTGTGTGCGATTATATTCATCGTTGAATTTCAGTCCTTATTTTATGAATTATTCTATGCACTGGAATGAAAATGTGAAATACGTTATTCATTCAAAAGAATATTAAAATGAGATGAGTGACAATTGATGCAATAAATGATTAGTGTAACTTACTCAAGTACAGACTATATTAACTTCATGCATTGATTATCACGTGTTAGCCTGATCGACAAAAGAAATCGATGTACTTTGAATGGTTCAGACCTTTACTAACACTCTGTGAATCATTCTTTTTCAAAGTAAGCCCATAGGCAATTGACATTTATGCGGAAATGCGGATCTACTGACATACTGCATTTTCAGATCCATGTTGTTACGGTTTCTAAGGGGTACAACGGATATGTAACATTAAACAACAGCACGTAAGCAATACTCTAAAGTACCTGTGCAGAAATTGACGCTGTATCGATGTGTTCACACTGGCTGCCGATAGTCCTTGCATATCAACAAGCTGTATGTTACAGGGTACCAGGCAGGTTTTGTCCATTAAAAGAAGTGGTCTAATCATACGTGGATTTGTGAAAGATCTAGTCGCGAAGAGGAAAGATAGCGAGAGGATGTGCGATGCTTTGCCGCGCTCTCTGTGACAGGCGGGGGACCTGCACGGGTGTGCCCTTCCATGGACGTGTTATTGAATTTTTAGGGAGTTGAGTTGGCGCTCTCTCCCTCAGACAACACGGGCGGCGAGTGGTAACGCTACGTCAGCACTCCAACGCCGTGCGCTTTCTTTAGTGCACGCGGATCGAAATAACGTGCGACGCAGTGAGTCTGATTGGTCACACGCCAAGACCTCGATCGGCACGGTCTGCAAAGAGAGATAAACCCCGCACTGGCTCGTGATGACGGATCTTTGTGGACCAGTCCTCGTTTTCCCGTCAGTGATGCAACGACAATGTCCGGAGGAGTTGTATCGGAAATAAATCGGCGACATCTCTCGAATGATAAAGGTGAGATGGATAGCTGTCGCTCGATGTTCTGATCCCACACAAACTCGTGTGAATGAGTGTGGCGTAGACGTCCGGAATTAGCTCTTGCCAAGTGAAAATTGCCTGTCCCCTTCCTTATCTGCTTTGTACATTTGGCCCTCCGTATGGAGTGTTCTCGTTGGCTGTGAGCTTGGCATTTTGCTGAAGTGGGATGCCGTCAGACAGTCCCACAGCACAAGGAACAAGAACGCTGACAAGAATCTAAAACAGCCCCTTCCGGTCATCAATACACCCGGCCTGACCCATTGGCGTTGACTTGAGAGTCTAGACAACCCCGATAGAGGGAAAAGAGTAATTCCATCCTCTGAGATCGAAAAACGAACTGGGAGAAAGGACAGAGGGAGAAGATTTTCAACTGTGCGCCTGTTGCTCAGCCAATAGCTTATGAAACCTTACCCCGAATTGATAGACTGGTAGTAATTTGCCAAGCCTGCTTCAATTCGGCCCATAGCCTGCAGTACTGGGCTTATTTTTATTTCTTACCGTGAAATTGGCCTGGAGACACCGCAAGTCATTGAACAAGGAACCTTATAACCCCGACGCCAAAGATCGCAGTAGACAGACGTACTCGCGGAGACGGCCGTCTTTGGCGAAAACACTAGTCTTTTTGTTCGTATGGCTGTAAGACTGTGATAGACTTAACTGTGAGTAAGACTAGGATACCTCCTCCCTACGAGGCAAAATGGTGTCGTTTCAGTACTGCCTTGCATACAAACTCCTCTTCAACTGTCTTCCTGCCGTCATCTTCCTTTTTAACACCCGAGATGTTTTGTCCTCTAAGTTGCAAAGCGTCCGCGTGGCTGTGGTGTCAGACGACGTCACCAATTTTTCTCTGTTCCACGAACAAGTCCTGACAGCTATCCACGAGGTTAACTCTACAGAGCCCGGAATGGCTTTACACCTTGGCCCTGTGGTGTTGTCTTCTCACCCAAACCCGATGGACGTTTACCGGGAGATCTGCTGTCAACTTGCCGGTACCGACGTGTCGGCCGTAGTGGTACATGCAGATGAGCCAACCCAGTTCAGTCTGTCCGTTGCTGGGGGTTTTCTTGGAGTTCCGGTAATTGGTCTGAGCAACCGGGCTTTTGCTTTCTCCAACAAGGTAAAGACATTTCTAAAACACTTTCAGGAGCAATTTCTTCAACTTAAGGAGGTTTTACGGAAGGTTTCACTTAAGGCACTGCGATCCAACTGCACGATGTGTCTTTTATAAAGCTCCAGTGCCAAAATAGAAAACTGCTTAATTCATTATTTGAATTAACCTACAGTTAAGTAAATTCACTCAATCTGCCTTTACTGTATCTTTACCCTCCCTTCACAATAAAATGCGAAAGAAGTTGCTTTCGTCCATATTTATAAAATGTCCACATGGAAAAATGTAAGCTTAATAAAAATTGGTTTAGACTGGTTGGCAATTGTTCTTGAATACCAATCAATTTTACCATTGCATTAAAGCAAAAATGTGCTCGAAACGTACCACTATTATTACTGCATGTTTGAAAGCGAGGTTCTAACATTTATTTGCTAAATTGTAAATGAATATGCCACGAGTAATGTCCTTTACGCATCTTATTTAGGCGTGAATGAAAGAAGTCACTGGAGGCAAGACTGATTCTCTTGCAGTGAAACTGCGGACACGCGAAAATCTATTTTTAGGTTGCTAAATTCACTTCCAGCTCGATACAGGTGTCATGTACAAAATGGTTCATTTGTTTATTTATTATTCAGTCAATTTAAGTTTCGAACAAGAGATAGGAATATTCAACCAACGTGTGATTTTACAGTTTCTGTGACCCAAAATACGGTCAATGATATAAAGTATTGTTAAAAAAACCTATGTTCGAGTAAAGCAGACCAGATATAATGTGCTCGTTCTTCGTCCTTCTCGACGACAGGAAAATACCGTTTAATATTAAATGCAAATGATACAATTTACTTGCGGGGCACAGCGGGATTTGATAAGGAGTTACACTTCTTCTGTCGGTCTGCTTGTTTAGGGTCCCAATCTACATTATGACGATCTAGAAGCCCCGTTATTCGAGGGAACAAACAAGGTTTCAAATCGCAAAGCTCTCAATGAATAATGGAAGGTATGGTAATAACGTTTCATAAGTTTAAAATGTTTAGTTCTGAAACAGATCGGTCTGGTTGACATGACCTCAAAGCAGAAAAGGTACAAGAGTGTACGTCGTACGAATTCCTTGACCGTCAAAATGCCGATGTAAAACTCATATAAAAATCAATATAGTTATCTTTCGAATGAAGAACTTAGCTTTGCCTTGTTTAAACATCGGATGGACATACAGGAAGCAGTGACCAAATGTGGCTTTGTTATTCTTTACCTAGTTCCCATCTCATAATTTGATCAGTCGAATTTAAATGTGCATGAAATGACCGATTTTGTTTCAAGATATTATCTTGTCTGACGGACTGACTGGGCATTGCCACGTTTAGAAGCTTCCTGTCAAGTACTGTCATGTTTTAGCTAAGTACTCATGGCGCACCATGCATTAATAATGGAAAGTGACAAACCGATGCAAGACGAAAAAGGGTACAGCATTTAATCTTTGAATAAAAATGTATTCATGAAGCAAATGTTGTATTCATTTATTTTTTTTCCCAAAATCGTTAACTCAAAGGGTTACACATCGAAGTAATTTCATTAAAAATGGAGCAAGGATTGAAATCAACGATTCCAGCAGGAAACCTGTATGTTTGGGAAATAAAAGCTAGAGGGAGGAAGTTAACATTTCGAAAGCAAAACTACAGAGTTTCAGGAGACAAAGGGACCTTAAAGTTATGTTTATCTTGACAATAAGAACACTCAAGCCCGTGCATGCGATATTTGAAGATTATTTAACTTTTATCTTCTTGCAAAAGTGTGAAGAAAGCCGTAAATAGTAGCCTCGCCCATCAGAAAGGCCCTGAGATCCTTCCTTATAGATCATAGCATATCATTCGTCGTAATAATGTTGCGGAACAATAGCAGGTAGGCCTATGATGGAACTTTGAACGGATGAAATGATTTTTCATAAATTTTGGTGATGCCTTGTGATATACCCGTGATTTCGATATTAGTTGAATTTCATGTACAATCATGGTAAATTAGCATTCAACGTTGGCTCATTATTTATACTGACTGACATTTACTGATCGCATAACAAGAAGCCTCCCAGCCATTCTATGTCTAGCGGAAACAATGAACACTAGAGATCGGTTTCATCACACGGTGAAGTTAAATCAGAAGTCACAACCATCATCGAAAATTATCCGGCTTTTAAAATGCAGTGATTGGTCCTTCAGGCCGTACGTGAGCGGTACGGTCTTCGACTTAGGGAAGACCTCGGTCAATCAGGTCTGCACTAATCACATATATCGTGTCTACCTCAAGTCCGTGGTTTGTGTGGATTTCAACGTTGCTTTAAAGTCATACAGAAAGTAGAAAGACTCCATGTTCTTTATTGCCTGGAATAGCTCCAAGGTGACAATAATATCTAAATGTCACCCTTTGCATTTATGAAAAGGAAGCTTTATTGCATAAAAAGACGTGGTAATATCTGGGTTGGGTTTAAGGCACTAATGTTAATAATCCCGCCCAATCACGACAGACCTTGTCTTCTATCGTCGTCATCTCTCTTTCCTGAAAATTTTATTGCGAATCCTTGACGATATAGGGCTGGCGTCAGCGGTTTTATGCATACTATTTTTCTGTCTGCGACGCTTAAAATCTAAGCTTAGTTTGATGACAATTTGACCGGGTGCTCTGTGCAGTAAACACTGTTAAACGCCCCCCCCAATAGCCTATATCGTGATTTGTAGAAATGGAAAGGGGAATTAATTGTTAGAAACAAAATAAAAACTAGTGTATTAGGATTACAAGTAGTGTTCTACAATGCTGATTATCACTGTGGTTTACAAGTCTAGAAAAGCAAGAGTGCTTACGAAAGGTGAATTTCATTAGATGGAGGGTGTCTCAATTATACGCTACTTTCGAACAAAGGGAATCAGTTCAAAAAGGAAAAATGCCTCTGTAAAAGTGATTTGTATATCCGCCACTTTACTCGAGAGCAATTTGTTTGCCGCCGTCCACAGGAAGTGTAATTTTCTGAATTAATCATGGAGATCCAACACTTCAGTATTTGGCGTAAGGTTCAAATCTCATTTTTTCTCCTCGGAGGTGTTTGTTGATACCAGATATGGTACATAAATTTCTAAATACGATCTGCAACATGAGAATTTAAAATGAGCTCCAACTCCAAAAAGAACAGCCTTAATGCAAAAGCCACTATACATGTTCAGGGTTGACAACATGTAATGTGTCGAGTTGCCACCGTATCGTGTTTCCTGTCACTTCACAAAGTTCCCTAGCTACGAGCTGGTTCACTTTTTTTCCCGCCTTCTTTCTGTAAATTCCCTTTGGAAATCTGGTCTTAGCACCGAGTTCAGTCCATTGTCGACTCACACACACGGCAGCTGGATAATCAGGAACTGAAATCGTTGGTTTTGGAACGTGAGATTCTAGCTGTTTTGTTCGGAGTCACTTTATAGGATGTTATTTGGCGTATTAATAGATAATGTTGGAGGCTAGATACTGTCGGAGGTATATGACATCCCTTTAGTAAATCTTCATTCCGTTTGTTTCGCTGTCAGTCTTTCTGTCTAATAATTGCTTTTAAGTGATTTCTGTGATTCGCGTTTTGTTTTCATTTCAGTTTCCCTGAAAATCGCAAATTCTGCGCTTTTTTATTTTTACGTCTGCTCAACGGATGTATTGCAGGATAGTCTCCTTAATTTCTCTGTTTCTCATATCCTTGTGTCGTGTTATTTTTTTCACTATCCTCTGCAGTATGGCAGTGCTCGTTGTTCAGGGCCCGATAACTCTACTGTGTTCTAACAACCACACAGTTCTGTTAATCTGAATGGCCACAAGCGATGCTAATGCATGACGAAGTTCACTTGATTACATAAAAATGTAGGTTAACGTTGATAAGTATTTTCTTAGCCTTGCCAGGCGTTGTAGAAATCCTCTCCAGAGCTTGTTGGAAACGCACGATCTATAACTGAAGGTGAGCACATGATAGGGAAAGTGGAACGATAGGCCAAGATGGAGGAAGTGGCTGACGGTGTTCCCCTGGAGAACATAGCCTGGAATCGAAAAATATTATGCAAAGTGTGGGGGGAATAATTTTGGATGATGTGTCAGCAAAGGAAGATTGCTAAGAGTCATGTCAAGCAAGGAATAAATGGCGGGAAAGATGGAGAGGGTCGCCGAATGATTGAAACGAAGTCAGAAATTGCTATTATTTCCAGTGCTTTGAGACATACATCGGTGGTTTCAGGGGAGACCTATTTTTATACTTGCAAATATTTTACCTTTTATCTATTTGTTTTCAGTGAATATTCCACAACTTAGTGTACTTGATTCCAAATACGGATGTTTGTTAAAACATCTAATGGGTCGTGAAATATTCACCTGTAAAGAAGGAACCATAGTCTGCCCTTTGCAACGTATTCACCCTTTCCGTTTGCCCCCTTTTCTCAGGTATGAAGTGCAAGAGAAAGCACCTAACACTCAACCGTATGTCCTTGTCAAGCCATTAGGTCCCTGTGGATGTCATCCTTTATACGTTTATAATGGCGGAAGAATTCAGCGAGTCGCACATTTAATGAAAAACCGCCTCCGCTTACAGGCCGTGTAAAATGTCGTAGATAATCTCGCTTGGGTGAACTTCACCCGTGTCGCCGTTAGGATTTTCCTTCTGATGAGCCATCCATTTAAATTCCCTGTTTGTACGTTTGTTTTATTTTCATGGTTGGTGTTTCGTCTACCCTAATTCCTGCAGTTTTCCTGGAGACTAGTGTCATTTTGGTCACTACTGGTTTGACTGTGTAAACCTGTACATAGATCAGTGGTCCGATCAAAAGTGTGATCTTAACAGCTTCATCTATCCACTATTATCCGATGCATTCTACTCACACATACGCATTTTCCTTTCACAGCTCAAAATTAACTACAGTTATGAGTCTGGGATACATTTTCCCGATTCAGTTAAATCAAATTATTATTTTGGACCTGATTGTGAGTCGAGATTTGAAACTGTT